GCACTCAGTTCGATATCCCTCAGTTTGGCACTTTTGTTCCTTCTTGAACGACTATTGTAATCATTATTCGTCGACTAAAGGTATTATAAGTACATTTAGATCACTGGTAAGCTATTCATATTAAGTAAGGGTTAACATGCAAATGTGGGGATGGTTGAGCCTGTATGATTTGTCATCATTCCAGATTCGTTAATCGTACCATGAGTGAGTTATATGATTTATACCTTGCGTGAAGACGTTCGGTATATCCAGCTGACTCACCTAAGGGTCAGGTGTGCCTGGTTATGCTGGAAAGATGCTAACCCTAGCAATACTTTGGGTAGTATCATGGAAGTGAATGAAAACCCTGCAAGCCGCAGGACCAAAGTTCAAATGTCAAATTCGCTGGCAACACCATGGGAAATGGAAGATTGGATGCAAAGAACCTAAAGGAGGTATACCTAATATGTATACATAGACATGGCCAAATATGAGCTTGCTCGCTCTTTGAACTTCATTAAGCGAATAAGTCTGACAAATCGATGTTTTTCGTCAGATGGTATCCACATATTCGTCACCTGCAGTGAGTTGTACCTGGGTTCTCAGATACGAATTACTCTCGATAATGTTATGAAAGTAAGGAAGCAATTACTTTGTAGTTATTCCGCAGAAAGGTGATGTTGGCTAAATACTGCTTTTGGAAGCGATAAACTTGCGTAGATGGTAGACACAGTGTCCAATACTGACATAAAGTACAAACGGGACCGGATACACTGATTGAGATCTATCATTGTGAAGATAGAAGAATAGTTATTGCACATTGTACACGTCTAAAACTAACAGTGGGGGAAGGGGGAAACCAAGACAGCTTTATTCTTTAAGGCATACGTGTCAAGAAATAGTTTTAAAGGTTCCTATCTATAACAGATGCCTTTAACTCTAACCTTTAAACACATTTCCTATAATTGACATTTGCAGGCTTTGTTATAGATTTGAATTTCTGCTTCTACCTGCGAGAGATAATAATACCACGGTCACGTTCAACACATGTTATTGTATATGTCTTCATTAAATTGAATAATGTCATGTGCCAACACCAGCATAAAGTATTAAATATGATTTAACTGGAGTTCTAAGGGATAATCATGTGTGGACACGGCACCTATGTGTGTTACAGCTGGTTAAATTGCCAAGTAATGTCAATGGATCACATGACTCGCTGTAGGGGTGAGGAGCGGTTCAGATATTTTCTTTAATCATACATCAAGCCCTGAAACACACATAACATTCTTAGAAACATTTACACATTACATCTTTTGCATGGGTATCAAAATTAGCTTACCACAATTAATTCTGTAGTCTAACATTTACACATGTGAATTATACCACATTATAAACTGTCAAAGGAAATAATAATAACATGAAACAATATGCACAACGTTGGTTGTGACACCAAAGGAGATTCATTGCCAAATTCATTGCCAAATAACACATTTGCCCAAATAATGTTAAATTACAACAATATGTACACATATCTGACAGACAATAAAGTTCACAATTAACATGACATACAACCAGATGAATATTTGGTAACCCTTAAAGGTTACCCGAAAGGTGTACATAAAAAAGAGAGATATACATTGACATATAAAAATACATCTTACCATTTGTGGAATAGAGCCTTACTGATTAGACCGGGTTGTGCTGATACATATGTGACGTGCCAATTACAAACATCATTCATCATTGTGACAATACATTCACCACCACTCATGATCTCCGTTCACACAATACAAAAAAAACCCATTGTAAGCATATACAAAGGGAAAGCTGAGCGCCATGGTTGCTCATACAGAACATTCATCAACATGACAATGCTTTCACAATTTTTCTGCTCTCCACTCACAGAAAACCATTGCACTTAAATACATTAAGGGAAACTGAGGAAAATGGTTGTAAAAACAGAACATTACTTATAATGCTATTTGGTTTTACATGAGTTAAAATACAATACAACATGAACTTTGGCTTTAAGGTAATTAACCAAGTTTAGTAGGTTTACAAGATGACCATATATTACAAATTACCAAATAACATTTAGACTGCAATTAATTTAAATGAGATGTAAAAGAACAAATACACATAAGCATAATTTAGTGTTAAAGTATTTAACTAACCTGTTTGATGCTGTTTAGTGGACCTTGTTGCCTTGTTGCCTGGGTGCTGTGCTGTGGTAAAGTGTTATTACAGGGGTGTTATTACAGATTGGTGCTTGGGAATTATAGGAATTTGAAATTAGCCAATTAAAAGATAGGAATTAGGGTCATGTGATGAACAATAATCCAGAATGAGACCATACTCTAGATCCAGCATATTTTGTGAATCCTAAACATAATAAGAACGTTTCAGATGAATGAAATTCATCTGAAATACTTGACAAATACAACCAAATATCAATATGATTGACATACGCATAAAACCACAAACTTTAGAACACTACCACCAACCTTCAATATTTTTATTGACCTTTTCATGACTTATATAATATTTTTATTCTTATTTCACTTTAACAATAAAACACTATAACACCATTTTATATTAAATAATTGTAAAATAGTTCTATAAAAAAAAAAATGACTTATTAAAAACATGACAAATGTCTCTGCTACACACTACCCCCCTATCAAAAAAATGACGTCCCCGTCATCACTCAGTTATCCCTGACAACCGACAAGAGAACATCTGATACTTTCGAAGGTAATGTGTAGTAAGTTCCACTGGTTGCAAGATGTTCCAAAAATCTTGCTTTCTCCAGCCAATCTGGTGGTCGACCTGCTTCTGACATTTAGGAGATACGCGTTCGGTTCCAATTGAAATTTAGTCGCCATCAATTCAGTAAAGCATGTCTCTGATTTCAAACACACTAGGGTTATCTCCATTCTGCCATGACCCATTTAAAATCGAACTTCCTCGCTCTGCGGAAGACACTGCATAATCCGGCATGGGACGAGAGGCGAATTGAACTCGTCTGTGAAGGGAGCGGTAGGTGCCGTTCGTATTATTTTAACATTACAACATAACAATATTCTGTCCAAAGAAATCAAAATACTGTTTATTCAATGCAATAATGTAATACCCGAGATCTTGTTTTTGTTTTCATCCCAACTCCACACGACTAAAACCAGCCTATTGTTTCGTGTGCCGTGAAACTGTACCCCCCTGGCCACACTATAATGGAATCGTCTGACCTACTTATTTTCTTCGAAGTAGACAGTTACGCAACAGTTTGAAATGGCGGACGAGCCAGTGTTTACATTTTGTGAAAATTTGAAATTTGAAGTGACAGTGGACAATACTTGACTGACTGTTGAATCTGAACCCTGCAGAATCGAAGAAAAGATCCTTTCCTGATCAACCTGTGACCTGTACCTCATCAAAGACTGTTGATTTTTATGACCGGCCGATCATGATTTCACGTACTGCCTCCACCCCGGCATGCAACAAAAGAGTGACAGTGTTGCTGCTTAGTGTACATGCGACTAAGTTGTGATTCCTTGGAACTTTGTTTTCATCGTTTGGGACTGGACTGTGTCCAAGCGTTTTTCAAAGTAGATGAACATAACAGTGCCAACCTTGCGGGGAAGCTGGCAGAGAGCAGAATTATTTTGTGAACGATGCAACGGGATATGATGGAGTATGACTATGAGTGGCATAAATGTGGTGTTTCGCCAGACCATTAGATCTATCTTGCAAATTTCTCATTCTAAACGGAATTAAATATACCATTTACCAGGTAGGTAAATGTTTACTAATGTTTTGCTGCATATTTTGTATAGATAGGGATGTAATTTTACAAGGCTTTCTGATTTATATGTTAGATATTGTTTTGTTTATGTTTGGGGCTGTGTATTGTAATTGAGTTTGAATATGTTTATAATAGAAGGTAATATGATAGTGAGGTTCCCTCATAATTGTGTGGGGGAAATCATATAATTGTATTTTTCGAGTTTAAATAAATGTTTTATCAGCATTTCCACCATGTCTGTTGTGTTGATATTAGTCATGTTGGTGGTCAAGCTGAAGTAGTGCGGCAGTGTTCTATACATGCGCAGTGAAGCGCAATGAAATCAAACGCATTTTTAATCCAAAAATTTCCAATTGCCTATGTGGAAAATTCGAAAGTCAGCGTCAAAATCCATGGAGTTGTTGTTATGATCCGCCATCATTGTGGTCAAACGGAAGTAGTTCTCACAATAAGATTTGTTAATGCGCTGTGAAGCGGCCTTACAATCAGATGAGCGTCGATCCACAATTGATGTCGTCTGATTTTTCTGAACAACCAATCAGAATCTATTATTTTCTTGATTCATGGTAGGATACAAATTCGCCGCTAGTTTGCCATGCAGGTTTCCGTCTAGCTCTTTCTGAGCGTCTGATCTGAGCATGTGGAATGTCTTGAGCAGGAGTTTGAATCCTTGTATCATTCACTTGTGCATTCTCGTGACTACTATTAGTCTCTGTGTCAATATCATCCGAAACACTGTCAATACTAGTTGCAACATATGTGACGTTGTCTACGTCAGGGGCAACAGCAAGCTCTGTGACGTCAGAATCATTAATGACAGTTTTATCTGTAACAGAAGTGACATCAACAAGATCTGTGGTATCCTGATCTTCAATCAACAATGTGGACTCTGATTCTGGTGGGGAATCACCACTGATATATTCCACTGTTCCAGTTACTTGCTCAGTTACATCTGGCACAGCGTCATCAACAAGGAATAAACTACCTTCATCCTGTTTCTTTGTTTCCATCTGTTTAACCTCAGCACCAGTCATGTTACCTGTGGGAGTATGACTGGCTGAAACAGACAAAATGACTTCGTCATCATCATCCTGTTGCTGCATGTCATTCATGTTACTCGGTACAGTTTGAATCTTGGTTCTTTTTCGTGTTTTTGGCTGTGGTTTTCCTGGTCCTGTATCCACGCTTCCAATGGGGAGAAGGTGATTCCGATGCAAAGTTCTTACTCGACTCTCCCCACACTCAGGTTCCACAACAAATACAGGTATAGTAGGGTTTGGGTGTCCTTTGACAACATAAGCATCCACTTCCCATCTGTCTGCTAGCTTATGTTTACCTTCAAAGGCAAGAGTTCTCACTAGCACTCTATCACCAATATGTACAGCTGCTCCTCTTGCTCTTTGATCATAGTTCTGTTTTTGTTTTCCTTTAGACTTTTGAGTGATATTAGTGGCTAGCTCATAGGATTTCTTCAATCTGTCACGAAGAGAGTTTGTGTAGGATTGTAATGACTGGCTTGTGTGATCCCGGTCAATTCCAAATGCAAGGTCTATCGGCAATCGTGGATGACGTCCAAACATCAAATAAAACGGAGAATACCCAGTAGTTTCATGTTTGGTACAATTGTAGGCATGAACTAGAGGAGACACGTGCATTTTCCAATCCTTCTTTTGGTCAGGTTGAAGAGTTCCAAGCATGTTCAAAAGTGTTCGGTTGAAGCGCTCCGTCTGACCATTACCCATGGGATGGTACGGTGTTGTTCTTGACTTTTTCATTCCGGTAATTGTACAAAGTTCTTCTATCAGACGACTTTCAAAGTTGACACCTTGATCTGAATGGATTCTTGCTGGTAAACCATAATGTACCACGAAATGGTTCAGAAATGCTTCAGCTGTTGTACGAGCAGCCATATTTCTAAAAAATCTGGTTTATTGCGATAACAGATTCGCCGTTGGTATTTGCTTTACGTAAAAAAGCATTTTCTCTATTCTTTCTTGTCAAACATCATTTCTTCGACAACCTTCTCACATGTATCTGTATTTTTAAAGACAACGACCAATTCTCTAAGAAATGGGTTTTTTTTTGTGGCGATTTCTGAAATTACATTTTACTCCACACTTCTCATTTCGTCACACATGACACTGCAGTTTTTCAAACTAAGTAACAACCCTCGGTCTGAATTCTGAATTAACAGCATGTCTACAGTCAAACTAAACATCGTATATATTATGATATATCGTTACAAGTGCGAGGTCCACATCCCCTGTTTATTAATAACTAACTATATATGCACGGTTTGTACAGGTAATCTGCAATATCAGTAAGGTAGTCTTTTAAAGCAGGCTTCGGGATGGAGTATATTAAGAGAGGATATCGTAATTATTGTCTGTTATTGGAATATCATGTATAAGTGATCAATATTGATCGTAACACATACATGATTTTATCTGGATGACAGACTTCACACAACCACGTTACCAACGCGAAACTATACAGTAAATGTATGTGATGACCGGATTCAGGGGGTGCTTAAACAGTTCCTGTTTAATCAGAAGCATTGCTAGAAATCAAAGCACGGCTATTCAGCGAATATGTTCGCAGAATACATTTAATTTGGTTGACTTGATATCTGTAATGTATTCTTTCTGCTTCAAAAGCCATACGGAGTTTCAGTAGGCCCCGTCGCATAAGGCACGTCATTCATGTGGCCGTAGGGTCCTATATCGGTTCGCCCCGATTATCATTAAAGTTATAAACGTCTCAGACGTCCAGTGTGGTTTACCGGCCTCATCAAGCTGACAATCCGTGATACAAACTGGGATCCTGTTCAAAGTGAAGTTACACCAAACTCACTCGCTTGCTCCATCACACCACAATAAATCCACAGGCAGGTTCTGTTCATGTTGAATCTTAGACATCGGGTAGAAACACAGTGCGGTGACAGATGTTTCAAAAATTGAGAGTCGCTTGATATATGTCATATATTCTCAGAGTACAATCTTGTGTTCGGTTACTAGACTAATTTATCGTAATATGTCACATGTTAAGAAACTACATTCATATCTATGCGTCAAATCATTCAGTGCCACACAACAAAGATGGCTGTTACACTGTTACCTGTACAAACGTACTGCTCTTACTTTTTCAACAAAACACCAAAACAAAATACAACCTATGCATACGGCAACAATGGTATTGTAGTATATTTACCTGTCTTATTTTTCACTTTTTTCGAAAACTCAAAATTGAAACAGTGGCCCATGGGCGAAACTATTTACGCTTCCTCACAATTCATGTTTTGGATGTAAATAAGTATCATGACACAACATTCAACTCATTTAAACTTGATTTAGCTATTTAAGAGCTTTATTAGAATATCGCCCTGTCTGCAAATTTCAACACAACATTCTCCCATTCTCGGAATCGTTTTTCATGAAATCATTGTTGTATAAGAACAAAAAAGTCAGAAATGTATTTTAACAGAGATTCTAAACACATTTAAAGGTGAAATCTCAATCATGTTTTTAATTAATCACCTCCTTGAATAATAGCGAACATGATTAGAATATTTTAGTCAAGGTTTCCTGATTAATCTTATGGTATTTAATGACTGACATCATGCATGTTCCAGGCGCTGATTCCCTGAACATCAGCGGTGGTTCTGAAGAGGGCGTTTCTCAAGTCTCCCTTTTCCACGAAGTGTTGCCCATTTCTGAACAACAGACCAACATGTATGTGTGCAACTTCAAGTCTGAACTCAATCCTGAAAGCATATCCGTGTACGTCCTTGACGCGAGACTGGGACTAGGACCTTCAGTGCAATGCTTTTCCCAGCTGTCTGTCCTGCATGGGAACTACATAAACACCAGTAATTGTTCAACAGTGTTCCAACCGTTTGAGAGATTGAACGTAACACAGGAAATCTCCCTGTACATCTCCTCTAAAGGTATTCCAAGGCTGCTATCAGGATTCATTTGGCTTCTGGTCAATGGTAAGAAAGGACCGGTACATCATGTATGCTTTTATACACACATTGTATAAAACACTTCAGCAAAATGCATACAGTAATTATTGTACGCAACCCGAGGTATTTCATTCACGTGAATGTTCACTGAATTTTAAAATACAATTCATCAGTCCTTACACAATAAGATTATATCAACGTCAAGGTGAATGTTAATTGACCAGAATTTATGTTTCAGCGTGTTAGAGGCTGCACTGTATCATCCGCTGTTAGTTTTCTCTCTTTTATTGTTATTGATGCTTTTATTGTATTGCGATTTTAGTTGTAGATGTTATATTATAACATAGCTGTATGTTACACACAATTTGTTATGCTATTTTCAGCATCAGGACCGTTGAATGTGACGTGTGAAGCTGTGGAACGGACGACCACAGGTAGGCAGCCACAAAATATTTCCATTCTATTTTGCCCATGTATCCTTTCTTGCATGACCCAGTGCCGTTGTAACTGTTGTATCTGAACTAAACCAACGTGTGTCTCTGATCAAACAGGTACAAGCACCGTGACAACAGTCAGCCAAGCTTCCTCTACAGAGCACAGCATATTATCAGGTTTGATTCTTGTTTAACGGCGGTGGTGGTCTGTAAAATTTAAACATATAATCCAGGCTGGACTTGACAATCCAGTGACCAACAGAATGAACATCGATCTGCACATTTTGGTTTCGATGACACGCATCAACCAAGTCTGCGAGCTTGACGATCTTATCCTGTGGGTCGCCTCTTATGACAAGAATAAGTTGCTGAAGAAAGATTGTAACTTGTTCCTTCAGACGTAACATCATAGGGTAATGTAAAATGAGTACATTTATAGGAAGGATAAGTAGTGTCAATAGAAATTTCACAGATTCAGAGTATTGTAATGGTAAATTTCGATTTGTACTTAACAGTTATCCAACTTGTCCGAGCCTTAGTTATACTTAAAACAAACCTGAAGACAGACAGACAGACAGACAGACAGACAGACAGACAGACAGACAGACAGACAGACAGACGGACGAACAAACAAATTGATAGACGCATAGCGATTCTAATTTTAGTATATCTTCTTCTATCGTATGATCCAGCAAAACAACGATGCTAACAATGACCCATAATGTAATTTCTACTGTGACTGTGGACAACAGCACTCATGTTGCAGGTATTATAACCAGTTGTATAAAGTTAAACTTGAATGTATAAATCATTACATATTACATTTCTGTATTTGTTTATATGGTTCTTCACATCACCAAACAGCTTACTACTCGTGTTAGTTTTGTTTTAACTTGTCAGTTGTCAGCGGATCCTAGTATGCTGGAAAATAACTTGGAATTTACAGATAAACATTTCACTTACACTGCAAAATATATACAAGCTCTTACGAGCTTGCACAACTCCGTTACACCAGATCATTTAAGTGTATCTTGTTGGCGATGGAGTCGTTGAGGCGACGATTGAACGCTAAAAATATTCATATTGCAACTGATTCAAGTAAGACAACAAAAACAATTTATTTAAAACTGAAAGCTTATTTACGAACATTTTGGCAACTGGAACCGATGTAAGATAAAAAGCAAACCGTTGTTAACGCTCGCGAACACCCATCCTGCTACTTGCCCGTTACAAATCACAGATAATGATTCTAACATTGATTTGTAAAGTTTATTTCAAATGCTAACGGATAAATATACCCATCAACATCTGAACTGGTTATGTGCGACGGCGCGAACGACAATGTTCCAGCTACATGACGGCTGTCAAGGCGTAATCGAGTCTGAATCAGCACAATTCAGACACGACGACATGGATCAACCCGATGTCCTTTATCGCCTAATACAAGGCCTAGCTGTTGAAACAATGAAGAAATAGCATTTATTGACCCATACTGTCCACCATTAATCCAGACATTCACCATGTTATTTTGTCTTGCATAAATATGAAAACAGAATCAATATTTAAAAACGATGCTTGATTTGGTTTCAGGACAGACGGAAAATAACACTGGTGCAATAGCTGGTGGAGTAGTGGCCACAGTCTTAGCTGTATTGGTTGTAACATTAATATCAGTGTGGATCATACGGCACAGGTTAGTATTAGTGTATTTAGTTTTGTATATTTGAACACATACTTTATAAGTATTGCTCAGGTGCTATCGGATTTGCAAAATGTGACTGAGACTTAGCAATATTTGCAAATGTGACACAGACCTACTTTGAAAGAGAAAGGTAACATATATTTACACATTAAATCCTTTGGACTACACTTCACGTTCAAACAGTTATAAATCATGTTTCTGGAGCAAGTAACTGAAAAGCTTTTATATTTTTACTTGGTGACATTTAAAAGACTTGAAGGTCACTGAAATGTTCCAAGAGGTTTGTATTGATTGCTATTGTATTAATATCGCAATTAAATGTGTTATTGTGTAATTGTTCAATCTAACTGTTATCTATAAATTGACTTCCAGAAGAAAAAAAAGCAAAGGGAAGGAGAAGACCGAATCACTTTCTAAAGATGCCAAGCCTGACATGACCTACAGTTTGGCCGGTAAGATCCCACAGAACAACTACCATGAAATCCAGGAACTGAGGACACTGAACAGTGACTATGACTACGCTACCGCGGACGGCATGGTGCTTCCTCCAACTACAAACACATATTTTACCATTGAACCTACTGGGGAGCAAACTGCAAGAGACAATTCAACAGCCTCTGCAGCTGAAGGCGAGTATGATCACATTGGAAACAAGCCTTCCCAACAGACAAGTGATTACGATACAACAGCTTCGGTGGCTCAACCAGGTAATACTGGAGAAGACGATTACGGTTACAATCTCTTCCAAAAGAAAGTCAACCCTCAGACACACCAGAATGACTACGACACTGCTGCCTCTGCAACTCAGGCAGTTGCCCAACTCAGTACTACCGAAAGGAACACAGATGAAGACGACTATGACCATTGTCAAAGGGGAACCAATGCTTCTGAGACCGTTAGCTCTCCGTATGATACTGCATCCGGAATTGACGATAACCCTGACTATTCTGTTGCGGGGCAAATGAAATGAGCATATCCCGAAATTGGAATATGTGTGTATGTTCTGATTCGTATCGTACATGCGCATTTATCTAAATAATCAGATGTCTTGAACTTGACCATGTCCTCATTTGGGCCACTGAACAATTTTCCTGATTACATCCTTTTTTATCAATATCACAAATCAATGTTTTACTCTATCATATATTAGGCGAAGCACATGTTGCCTATGCATCTAAGGCGTGACAACTTTCACTGCTATTATCACAATTTGTTTGTCTGTTGCTTATTACTATACAAGTATGTTGATTGACAGTCTGGTACTTCAATTTCACTTGCATGTAAATCCGTCAGTAGGGTGCACATGTTTACTGGAGTTGCCTTAGCATGTCAGAGTAGGAATTACTGCTCGATTTATTTCTGTAAGTCATTGTATTTATTTATGGTACAACAAACTGAAAACGTTTGTAGAGAACGTATTCCCTCGAAGACATTTTACGTGCTGACACATGCATCAGATTGTTTTGAGGTCTGTACAATTGGTTTGTCTTTATTTAAACTAGATTATCAAACAATTAATAATAATACTATCAAATATATTACACAGTTTATGTAACACACGTTCGGGACAGTTTTTTACAGGTGACGTTCTTGTGGATAATACATTTTCAAAGCTGCATTCCTTATGTTACAGCGTGTTCCAATTATTCACTGTTACTTTTCCTCCCGATGCCAGCTATCACCATCTCCTTGAAGAAGATTTAAAATGAAAAGACACGAAAACGTTTCAAAGTTTATTTATTTGCATGTTGTGGGGTTCATGATGTCAATTAATCTTTTCATTGAGACCCGTGAAGGTCCGGGTTAGATTATTGATTATAGTGGAGTGTAATGGCTTATGTCATGCTTAGCGCGAGGATCGGCATAATGGATAGTTGGTTCAGCCGTGGTGACATATGGCTGAAGGTGTGTTAAAGTTACTTGATTGTCAGAAGTATTTACATGCGAACATCTTATAGTTGCAGAGTGATAAACGAAACAACGAAATGATACTTTTATATTAAAATCACCCTTCTTTGTAAACCACAAAAGACAGATGTATAAAGTTAAATGCACTCACCACAACCTCAACGAAACCGACATTCCAGATGACATACAGCAAGCGATGTATTACTGACCAAACCTGCTACAAGACCCACAAAACCGCTCTGTGATGTCACTTGTCTTATGGCGTCAGGTCGGATAAGTCTCAATTCTACGTTGAGGACCTAGATCCGCTCTTGTTAGTCGATTATACGATGAGGTTGCTGTTGACAA